ACAAGTAAGAAAGGTACTATACCAATCAATTCTTCGACTACGTCGGCCGATTCACACAATCGGACCAGAGACGACATGGCAAAGGCCGGGGAAATTTCTCTAAAAAAATTCAAACTCGATCTCTCCTCCGGGGACATTCAAGATTTGGACATCGTGTCGTACTTCCTCGGCTTCCGAGCCCAGTACAACGGGAATAGTGATCTCCCTTCGGCATCGAAGAAGTATTTATTCCCTGTCTCCGGCCGAATCATCACCTTCATAAATCCCACTTTGAAATTCTTATAGGAAGTGGTGAAAGGTTGTAACAGGCAATCACTATGCCGAACCAGTGACAACCACTTAATCTTCTTCGTAGGCCGAGACGAATAGAAGTGTAGGAATAGGTGCGGAGTGGGCTGGATGCCGAGAGCCAAACACAACTGTCTAAACCCTTGCATCGCTGCCCAAGTGTTTGGATGAAGTTGACTCGGCGCCACGTTCAGAAGCCGCAGTATACCAATAAAATAATCATCAAAAGGGAGAGTTATCTTCAAATCCCGGAACATGTAATCATACACATAAAAGAACTGGTATTTGCACGACCCTTGGCTCAAGTACACGAAATCCGGATTCGGCCCTCCATCGCCTTGGCACGGCTGGAAAAAGATGGCAGAGGGTTCCTCTTCCTCAGGAAAGGTCAAGAATTTCACTGCCGATACGAAATGGATAAGAGAGTTCTTGTCGGTATACCAGGAATACACGCTGCCAACCTCCTCGTGCACCCACGAGTACCTAGGAATCGATATGGAAGCAAAATTCCTGGACGATCCACCACCCCTGCTCGGATGATCATCAGAGACTATCACCGATGAAGAATCACTCCCACTCCGCAACCGTTCGGACCCGAAAACGGACTTTACATGATCCTCCCCAATGGAAGCCGAGGCCGATGCGACGTCTCGGTCCGGTGTCGCTCTCAACCCAGAATCACCTATGTCCCCAGAGGAGTCAATATGAACAACATTTACATTTGCCATTACGTACCTGATTGTTGAACTTGACCAATCTTCGCTGAAGAATACTCGAACACCGCAACTCAGTTGATCTCGGCTCGGAGCAAGTGATAAATGCGTATCTTTGGGGACCCCTCCCACATGCCTATTTATAGGCGTTCCTTGCAAGTTTATCAAGCGCCATACCCCTATACACAGCGTTGGATCACTTAGATCCAACGGTTCATGATGCGTAACCCTTCGCATACGTCATTAATACCCAACGGTTATAACCATTGGTATTCCGACAACGGTTGCAACTCTTTGCCTTCCATTAGCAGTCATAACTCCTCGCATGTGTCATTAATGCCCAACGGTTACAACCCTTCGCTTCCCATCAGCAGTTGTAACTCTTGGTCTTCCCTCAAAACAGGTAACAACCGAAATAACACCTTTACCCTTTGCGTCGTTTCACTCCTAAAGGCTGGGGGGCTTGTGTACCGGGAGGACCCTATCGGTCACGTGGACCAACACGTGTCGTTCCGTCAGACACCCATGCGAACTGAACCATACCTAAAACACTGATGCTAGCATCGGCTCGGCCTAGAGCCGAAGGCCGAGAAGAGTCTGCTAGCAGTATCGGCTCGGCTGAAGGCCGATACGAACGGCACCATGATGCATCTCCGTACACTACGTATCGGCTCGGCCAAGCGCCGACCAAGTAAGGTAACCGAGTAAGCATTTGTCGGCCCGGCCAACAGCCGAGGACGTGCAATTTCCCAAGCCTTAGCCTGTCAGCTCGGCGATGTGTCGAAAGGTTAAACGGATTATAGTACAAATCACACTTAACAAGGATAAGCGCATGATTAAGACATGATTAGCTGATTAGCATTGTATTACCTAATTTGGTAAGTGTCAGAAAAAGCCCACCATGGTCATGCCCATGTCAGGTATTATAAATAGGTCGCACGTAACGAGGTACGTCACTGTTCATTATTTACCCTAGAAAATCGTGCTTGTCCTGACTGGAGCGTCGGAGTGCCTTTTGCAGGTATCTTCCCCTTCCGAAGTATTTACCTGAAGCTCCTGTTCGGCCCTTCCCCACAGAAGATTACAAGTGTACCTCAGACAGGTACATTGATCGTTTCTTAAAACTGAAGACAAACACCAACTAAGCCTGCACTAATGAACTCCTCATTTATTGTTGTTCTTATTCTACATACTAGTTCCTAGACCTATCGAAGAACTCGTATTAAATAATTTTCTCATTTAGAAATGAATGCGTAGTGCTGCATCCTATCACAATTGAGTTTCTTAGCTAGACATGTGATGATGTGAAAATAGATATTAGTATTTGTGAATAATATATTACTGGCTATAAACTTACAATACTCAAAAATATTGCAAACCCAGAGGGCAAAACATATTCTATAGATTGGGGCCCTGAAGTTAAAAGGATTACTGTCTGATTAATAAAATATAGAAGCATAATCAGGAGCTTACTTTATTGATTATACTGATATCTGCATGTGTAAGTAAAGTATATGACATGTAAGTCACTTTTGTTGCAGTGGTATGACTGGTGTCCAATATTGGAGGGTTTAAAGCGTTATGTTCTATTGTTCTTTATACATCCCACCATATCTTAAATTTACAGGTGCTAATGCTCCACTGACTGAAAGGTGCCTAACCAGGCAACAATTATAAATAAAGCATTTATTTATATAACAAATTTTTATTATATATTATATATTCTATCTCTCCATTATATTACCCATTTTATTACTTTTGTCTTGTATTCTCTTTTCTTTTTATGTCCCTTTTTATTATATTCTGTTTTTTTTGTCCCAATACAATTTCCCTTGTATTAATATAAGGGCAAAGATGACCCCACAAAACGTAGTGTAAACCAATTGGACCCATTTTTCTGAAAAATCAGAAATCAGAAATAAATAAAAGAAAAGTTAATTATTTTGTTGGGAACTTTAATTGCGAGAGAAAGCTCAACCTGCTTTGACTTAGAAGTTCACTTTATTCGACCGTAGATGCATGCATACCAAATTAACTTGCTTTATGACTATCTACCTTGTCTTCCATGTCTTATTCTAAAGAGAAAGTCTTCATAATTTATGAAGAAAAGGTTTTGAAACTACACAAATGCTCATATGCCCGTCTAGAAAGTAGTTATGAAGGAAGGACAAATTGGTAAATGCACTCAAGGCTAATGCCATCTTCTAAATTGGTAAATGCACCCAAATTCCAATCTATTAAATATCCTTCAACCATAACCTCCCATTAGTTAATCCTAGATCCTAAGAAACATTCTAAAAGTAGCATTACATGCTTCAAATTCCATTGCCTCTTGGTGTTTGATCTATTCATTCTATGGCCTCAAGAATTTCTCCTTCAAAACGTGCGTGCTTGTGCTCTCCCACCACACACTCTGGCTCATTCAGGTGTAGCCTGCACAAGAAGAAGCCCCCCAGAACCGTGTCTAGGAACCCCTCTCAATCTCATCATTTGGACTCATCTATGGTTGCCAAAGCTAATTCTTTGAAGGCTTTTCTCTTGCAAGTTATCAAGCCCTCTAGCCATGATCTTCATAGGAGGAAGAATTTCCAACCAAAGCCTTCTCGGTTTTGTTTGATCAATGGTAACAATGATGCAGTTGCAGTTTCTTGATCACAAATTACATCTTTGCTCTCACCTGTTTGCTCTCTTGTACGTATAATTAAGGGAACCTCTGTTTTTTTTTTTTTCTTCTTCTTTTTCTGGGGGTTAAGAAAAAGTGTATGTGAGGAGGATATCTGTACATATAAAGTTTAGAAAATGTAGTGGAAATGACAAGAAAGTAGAGTTTTGATTGGAACGAAGAGACAGAAAAATATTTGTAGATGGTGTGTTTTTTTCTTGACATGCCCTTTTTATTTCCGTTTACTTGTTTTACGATACTACTTTTTTTTTTAGGGAATTTTACGATACTACTTGATGCTTAGTTTTATGTAATATCTGAAATCTTCTGTTCCTATTTGTTGCATTTGTGTAATGTATGTATGTAATTCAAAAGAAGTAAGATATTTCTCGGTTTTTATAAGATTTGAATCTTTATATATTAACATGTTTTTTTTTTTTTATATTTGAATTTACGCGCATGAGAATGATTCTCATAAGTTTGTTGCAATGTAAATCTGTCTCTTTATCTCCTTACATATATAAAAATAAGATCTGAAAATATATTTATTTTTTATTATTTTAAATTAATTTATTTAATTGAGGCATTTTAAATATTGACCTTAAATCATAAATTATTTAATCAAATTGAAGTAAATTTTATCCGGATTAAATATGTTATTCTCTAATGGTTGTTTTTGGATAAGTTTAACTGAATTTTCTTCTTAATTTTTTATCGGTTCATTGTTTTACACGTCTAAAAATATGTAATCTCTCTCTTCTCTCTTATAGTTTCTCTATTAAATTTAATTCTTTAAGGTCAATATTTCATATGCTTTAAGAAAAATTTATCTATCCAATTTTTTTAGTGTTTTAAATTATTCATTTATATGTCTGTCTTATAAAATATAACACTATTATCATTACAATCATCGGTGCCACTATAACTTCTTAGAAAGAAATTAATTAATTGATGGTGTTGAATTTTAACGATCCAATTATTAAATTAAAAGATTTTAATGCATATATTAAGTTTACAAATATTTAAAAATTTTGAAACTTATTTAATATTTTATTTTATTAATTAAAATTGATAAATAATTATAAAAGCATTTTATATATTAATTAGGAATGTGAATAGATTAAGTTAGACCAGACTTTCAATATATATGTTATACTTGTTTTACAAAATTTAAAGTCTCAGCATGACCTATTATTTATTATAGGTTTTTTTTATAATCTTAGCCTGACTTTTTGAAAGTCTGACATGACCATTATCACTCTTGCCAATGAGAACCCATTAATTAAGGTTGATTTAAAGACAAGTCAAAAGTAAAACTCGTGAATTTTCTTTGCAAATAAAAGAAGAATCTCAATAATTGTTATTGCTTGATTAAAAAGTTCCGGTGCCAAAGCGTTTTTACAACCTTTTCATACGCGTAATGCAAATTAGCAATAAAATACTGCAATAGTGTGACAATTCTGTAGGACTCTTCCAGCTGCATCCCATTCCAAAATTTACAAAAGGAGCAAGACCAAAATCATCTATGTGACTGTCAATCGCAAAACTGGAAATCTGCAATGCTAACTGAAAAAATAATAACAAGGAGCCATTAATTTTAAAGTAGTCATCTAGAGTGATCACAATCATGACAGAAATGGTATTGCTCAGTGCACATAATGACTTGTAGAGCTTGTTCATGGAGGACAACGGACCCCGATGGCATATTCAACCCTCCTCCGACTCTGCACATCAGAATAAAATTAGAACTAAATTAGGGTAATTTTTGAAGAAATGAAATGCATACTTAATAAGGGAAGTAGGGCAGTAAGCATTTGTCAGAAAAAACGAAGTTACACGTTCTTATTATATTTGGAAACCAATAGATACCATGAAAATGACAAAGAAAAATAGTTTCAACTTTCAGCTCAAACGTTTTTCATACCATGTATGGCTTCCATGTTATTGTCCTTGTAAACACCTAGAGGTGATCCATGGACAGAAAGAAGCATCTCCCCAGGTTTGGGCAGCCTAAGTGTTTTGGGTGTCATCCCAACAGACAACCTCTGACTAGTCACCTGTAAATCGGTTAAAGAGCCGAATTACATTAAATTCAGAAGTAATCTTGCGTAGTTGGCTTTTCTAAGCATTCATATAGTGAGGGTATTATAATTGTTGGATGAAGATCAGACAACTTGGAACAAGAATACATGTCTGAAGTCCGGTTTACTGAGATAAAATAACTCTAATCTTCAGCTAACAGTCCCAAGTTACTCAATGCGTGAATGCATGGAAAAGCAAACTCGAATGAATCCAGATCCAAATAAAACTAAAAAGCCACCTGCATATCCTTATTCCTTAGAAACACAAATCAGAGTTCATAAAACAAATAAATAAATAGGAAGAAGATACTAACACCGGGAGTCTGAAGGCCTTCTTGCAATGCTAGCGTCTGAGTGTCAGATGGCTCCTCCAAAACCTATTCAATTGACGAATTCTTCAGGCAAGATAAACACTATTGTAACCCTTGTGCAGTTACACGCACCCTGATTTTGTCCCCAAAACTCACATACTCTAAAGGCTAATAACGCCAGTAGGAACATAAAGATGTTCATTTTATGTCAAGATTCAATGTTTTTTAATTAATGATATCACATTGATCTTATGTGTAATATTTCACTAGAAATAACTAACTGAAGAGTTCCACCAACACACTCCTCTTAACACAATCTTTTTCAATTGTTAAAATTCAATCAAAATCACATAATCATAAGAGAAATTCATCAAATAGGTTAAGAGACCTGCAAAATTTTATGATTTTCAATAAATTTTAATAAATTAGGAGTGTTCTAAAGAGTATATTACTAGCATTTCTCAACAAAAAAAAACTAATAAAAGTGAAAACAGAGCAAACATACAATGTCTTTGAAATGTAGGTTATCAGCACCACCAAAGCTAATTCTCCCTGCCACAAAAAATAAAAAATAAAAAAACTGTCAACTGTCAATTACAAACACTTGTGACGTTTCCGCACGAAAAAAAAAAGTACCTGCATTGGTGGAATATTCAAAGCCAGTGAAGCGAGGGATGGAAGCGATGGACAACCTTTGGAGCAAAGAAGCGTGCACGTCATTGCAAGTCTCTTTCTCTCTCCATTTCACTTCCACTTTCCCGTTGCGCTCGTCGTTCACCACAGAGAGGTTGGGTAGGGTTTCTTCCAAAACCTGAAATAGCGGTTTCTGAAGCTGCTCGCTGCTATAACGCGACCGCAAGAAGCGCAGCTCCGTCAGCAAGTGCTCGATCTCCACGTCGCGAACCGCCCTAATCGCTCCAATTTGTCGCTCCATCGCTTGGATTTCGAGGTCCATGAATTGAGACGCCTGCGTTCGAGTTTGAGGTTCATCTTCAGCTTTAGATTCGGTTGCTTTTGCGGTTTTCTTCGTTCTTCGCTTTGGCATTTTGGGGTTCAAACAGCAAAACCTGTGAATGTATTCGACCCAATCTTGCAGATTTGTGCGTTGGGAGAGAAGACGTGGAAACCAAAGGAGAAAAGGCGCCGTGAAATTTAAAATTTTGAAACTTATTTGATATTTTATTTTATTAATTAAAATTGATAAATAATTATAAATAGAGGGACTAAATTGTATAAATCAAAAGTCATGTATGTATAATATAAAAAGGCTACAAATACCTTGAGTAAATCAGAAACCTTCTCAGCAATATATTTTTGTTGAATATTGGCTCCCTCCTATGTTACTTATCAACATGAATGCACAGGATACCTTTTCTGCAAACCTTTTTAACAACAAAAATAGTAATCAAATCAAATGAAAATAAAATGTTGGCATGAGTCCAAACGCAATCAAAGAAAAAAGAGGTTCTGAACCTTTTACTTTATAATAAAAGATGGCCAACCAATAAATAGAACTTTATTTCTATGACGAATAGTATATAATTAATGAACAGTTCAAATAAATCAATTTATAATGGACTCTTACACCCCTTTCCCTAATTAAAAAAGTTGTATTAGACAGGAGAGGGATCTGCAATGAGGAGGAATCTTATCTTTTTTTATTATTATTCAAAATTAAGATGCTTATATACAAGATTTTTGAGCATGGGAGATATGATTATGTCTAACAACAGACAAGAGACATCATAAGATTGTACAACGTAAAAAAAATAATTAAAAAAAAGCTAAATTAGCAAGCATATAACACATTGGATTAATATATTAATATATAACACATTGGATTGAAGCCCACAGACACTTGATAATTTAGTTGTGAGTGATGATAAACTAATAGTTTGATTATAAAAATAATTGTTGTTATAAAGATGAGTTTTCTATAGATACTCGTGTGCAAGGCAACTTGAAACCCACTTATCCTTGGGGAGCATATTAGGAAAATACTTGTTGGTTTTAAGCCTTTAACAAGCAAAACGTAATCACTTTACCACCAATATTTTAATATATTGCATTGCCAAAATTTATGTAAAATATAGAATTTATGTCATGTTTTTTCATCAAACATAAAAATATTCAACGTAAAATTGTAAAAACCATTTATATAAATATCAGTGCCATACATGAGACAAAGTAAATATATAATTTGAAATAAAATATATTTTTACTTTAAAACTAAATTCAAGGCATTACCAAAAAAAGAAAGAAAAAGAAAATTCAAAGGCAAATTACCAGTCAATTCTCCAACATATTTTTATGAATCTTGCCAAAAAAATAAAATAAAATAAATCAAAACTACAGGTGAGAGTTTTTAAAATTAATTCACCTGTGCAACCATGTCTTAATATATAGCTCCTCTAGGGTTTGAAATCCTGCATTTAACAGAAAAGGTGAAGCTAAAAAATTACCTTACTAATCAACATATTCGGTGAAGTAGAGTATTGGCTGTCTAATATACAGTAAGTTGAAGTAAACAATGAAGTCCAGAGACAAATTAAGTGCAAAATTTTAACTGGAAAGACAAATTTTGCTTCTTTATTTTTATTAATTTATTTATTTTGAATAAATGTCTATTTTGTTGTCCAGAGATGTCAGGAGATCACATTGGTCAACCACTTATTGGAAACATTTGGTCCTTCAATTAAAAGTCATTACTTTTAAGAATAGATCCACTCATGAAATTTTCACTGATATTGATTGTGAGCTTTATCTCATTTAAAAGAGGGGGGGGGGGGGGGGGGGGG